AACGGGCTATGTACCGAAATCGTGAGCAGTGAAACAGAAAGCGAGAAGCGGCAAAGGGGACATGACCGGCGGGCCGAAACAATTGTGTCAATCAGACGTCCGTCTGAAATTCTGGTGCTCTCGGGGCCGCAGGAACGGTCTGAGGTCGAGGGACGAGGTTCGAGCTGCGAGGTGTGTTCGCGTCGCGTCAGCATCACTAGAAAGCCGTAATGCGGTCCGTTGTCGGGCCGTACGCGCAGGAGGAAGGTCAGGGTCAGGATGACTATCAGGTGTGGGATGGATGAGTCTGCTTGCTTTGTTGATTGACTGGCTGACTATGAATTGACTGCTGTGCCGACAATACGATCAAGAGCCTCTAGATGCGCCTTGTCTGAATCCTCAAGATCACTTTCTACGTCTATACGGCGGGGATGGACGTGTTGCTGCTAACAGGGCAGGTAACCATAAATTCAGAAACTAGGGACGAAGAAATTCGAAACCATATTACATTCGTATCTTATTTCACAATTTGTGACTTTGGCCTGGAAGCTATCAATCTTTCCAACTTCTCGTCCATGTGGACACTGAGCTACGAGGGAGTGCAGATGTCTGTCTGTCTTCCTCGAAGAGATCACATTCTATCCAAACCTTGCCGCGATGAAAAGACAGTTCTGCCTAGTCCGGAGGCTCCTGCCCTCGCTGGTTGTTGAAGATGTAATCCGGGGGCAGTTCCATGCCGTCCAGGTCCGTCGCCATCAAAGTCGAGATTCCGCTGTGGTTCCAAAACCACTGGTAGTTGGTCTCCTCGACTAACCCCATGTCCATCTCTCCTAGTTCTTCGAGCCACGCGGACGCGGGACGGGGTGCGCCAGAAGCATTGGGACCTCTTGAACCAGTGTCGATCTGAGCAGCGAGGACGTCTGGACCGAGGGTCTGTTCTCCGTCTCTTTCTCTGCAGGCCGCATTTGTATTGCCACTGCCTGCATTGCCTGCGAATGGCGCAAACGAGGAAGAACCTCCGTTGTCGCATTGAGGGGCAGCACTGGCTCGACCACTTCGTTGCCCTCCAAAGTTCTCGCGCCATTTCCAGAGAGTGTCGTGGAGGAGGCTGGCTGCGAGGCGGCTTCTCACCTTGAGCTCCGGCTGGAGGCCTCCAGGCTCTGCTGTGGCTGCCCACAGTTGGGCGAGAATCTTGGAGTATCTCCCTTGCAGATCGTTGTCTTCGATCGAACACTTCTTGACGAGACCCACGCCGAGGTTGAACGCTTTGCTTCCCTCGTTCACGTCGACGAATTGCGAATAGTAGCCACTCCGAAGGACTTTCAACGCAAAGTTACAAGCCACGGCCAAGGCGTGGGTGAATATCTTCGGCCCGCAGGTCAACAACTGAACATCGACCTCTCTCCCCTGGCATTTCCAGATGATGTGGAGAGCTGCCCGATATCCCTTGAGAATATACTCTTTCTGTGCTGGATGGTGGGAGCGTTCTAGGAAATAGTAACTCCGGAGCTGGAGGGTGGCGTAGAGGAACACAATTTCATTCGTGGCTGCGTCTAGGTGAGAACTGTGTGGTAGAGATTACCTACGGGAAAAGTGTAACTCACGGGACAAGTCTGGTCCAAGCATCCACCGCAGATCCTTCAGTTCAGACTCATACAGAGGCAGCAGGACTCCGTTGTCATTCTCTCCGAGACTGGCCATTCGTCGTTCGCGGCTCGCCATCACCCTGTGAAAGCGATTACAAAACCGGGTGATGAGAACCATTTGGTAAATTTCCACAGGGAGATTGCCGTGATTCTCAGAAGTGCAGATCATGTCGAGGGTAGCGTCCGTGACAAATAAAGGAAACTGTCCAATGTAGGACGTTATACTACCAAATCTGTTAGATGAGTTCTGTAGAGGGGACAAAGGCGAGTATGTACTTTTCCGCAGCAATGAAGCATGCCGACCAAACCAAGAGAGCATCCCGCAGCTCTTCGGGACTGAATCGGAATTTGACGCGTGAAAAATCCTGGACAAAATATGGCTTGTGTAGTCCAATGTGCATCGCACCGGTCTTCGCAACCGATGCTAGTATATAGGACGAGTCGGTGCTCATAGAAGAGGTTGGGAATGGCCAGAGACAGAGTAAGATCATCGCCTTCAGTTCCGGGCGAGAATGCGGAACTCTGGGTACCGTCTGCCACAGGAGGCCTTGCACAGCTGGTGAAAGACTAGTGAGCAGAATTGGTTCCTCCTCATCCCTTCTCGCTGCGATAACAATGATAGTCCAGAAAAGCAGAGGGGACTTTGCGTGATAGTCGTCGGGTGAGCCACTACCCTCGATGAAAGGCAGAAAAGGGTGGTATTGGCAAAAGAACCTGTTTTTGCCGTGAGTAATTGCGAACGTCAATGCGGATGGTGCTCACGTCTTGAATAGCCTATCTATTTGAACAGGCGAAAGAGTTACGCTGCCTAATGTCCGTGACTCGGCTGCGGGGAGAAGCTGCACTGGAGCAGGAACTTGTGGGTTGTGAAGCTGCGAGTCGATCAAGACAGGAGAAGAGTTCGAGGCCGCCGGACCGCTCCGAGATTCATAAGGGGCTGGAGCTGTGCAGTCCGTTCCTTGATTGTTTGAAGGCGAGTAGGAATCGTCTAGGGCAGGTGGGGATATGTTTCCGACGTGAGATTGTGCTGCTCGAAGTCGCTCGACTTCTTCAGCGAGTTCTCGCAGCTTTCTGTCCCTATCAGCATCCGTGCGGCAGACTTCATTGAATATCGAGGTCAGCGCTCACACTCGTTTGTTTTGTCTCTTGTAATCATTGTCATAAACACATGACAAGCCGAGATCTCGACATCGTAGGCACACTTGGAGAATGCTTGCGCTCTCACATCGTAACTGGCGAATGTGTCAATTCTGGATACACGACGACAAAGTCACAACCAAGATCTTAGGCGCCGCGAGAGACTGGGTAGCAACCACTTACCTTTCCCTGGCGACATTCCCTACAGGCAACTCGTTTGCGTCTTCCACGTCTTGGATGTTGTGCAGGAGCTGGTTCATTGTGGCCACGTGGTGCCAGAGGCACTAGCGGGCGAATACTACCTGCAAAGGCCGAATTGGAATTGTCCAAGTGACTGTCCATTCCCAGATGCCCATCGACCGGTTTGTCGGCAATGTCGCGGCCAACTGAAGCTGGGGTGGAATGGGGACTGGCTCATTCCGGTAAGGCTGGCTCCCTGAGTGGCTCTGGAAAAACTGTGCTAAAACACACCCGGCCGATAAAGCAGTTGGTAGCTGGATGTCTCAACACACAAAGCATAGGGTTGCCAGAGTAAGAAGGAAGAATGGAAGTGAGAGCGACCGCAAGGACGGTGGATGTCCGGGGCTTCAGTGTGGAGGACGAGATTCTGTGGCTGGCCAAGGCTGAGTGGGAAAGGAGCCATGAGCCAATCATATTCAATGCCGCAAACCGGGCCGATTGAGCTTATCCAGCGAAGCTTTAGCTGAGCTGGTTTTTACCGGCTAAACTGACCAAACAGCCACGCTTCTGATTGGTTACCCTTATCGGCGCTTATCTATTGGCTAATGAAAAGACAGATAACGTGACTTTCGGATCTTAGTTAATCCGATCCTAATTCTAACGATTTCACTTTCCATTTACCACCTCGTCGCCGCCACTCTTCAACTCAACTAACTCAACTTCCTTCAACACCAACAACAACATCAAATTGATCATCAACAGCCTCATTTCATCGTTCTCTGACTTGAATCCATCTGTGAACAACCCTGCTAACAAATCCTTTACAAAACTAAGTTATGGACCTGTTGAACTGATGAATTACAGGACCCTTGAAATTACCCCGAAATCACCCCCTGGCTAGTCGAAAACCTTCTTTCGTTCCTCCAATCATCCTCCCTCATCCCTGCCCTCGAAGGCTGCTGGCGTTGGACAAAAAAGGTGGAACTGTGGCGTTACAGATCCTGGTCAGACTCGCGGTCAAAGCCGGCGTCGTAAGACCCAGTGGGTTCCTTGGTGCGTCCTCCGGACCCGGGCAGTCATTCGTCGCGGTTAGTCGAGCACAGGGTTCTGTAACTGCTAGCAACACATAACTATTGGCTCTCATTTACACATTCCCAGGTGGCGATGGCTACATTCTTAGTCCCAAGTGGCCTTCCTCTAGGACCTCCACCACCAGGACCACCACCAGGACCACCACCAGGACCACCACTAGGGCCTCCTGGACCCCCGGGAGAGACAAAAACATGTACCAATTGTCTTCAGACTAAGCCAATTGATCAATTCCGTGCCGTCCGGGGTAACAGAATTGTTGCAACTTGCCTTACTTGCCGTGGTCATTCTACGAGGAGTAAGCGAGCCGCCATATCTCCGGCAGTTCCAGCACAGAGAACTCCAAGTTTTATGCGTCCAACTACAGCCTCTACAGCACGCGTAATTACACCTTCTACACCTCTTCGTCGTGGACAGTGCAGCCAGGATAGCCCTACTACGGCGGCTGCACGTCGTGAACAGACCGCCATTCAGAGAGAACATCGGGCTCGGCGACGTCATGGTGAAGCGCCTTCTCCAACACCTACTCTTGAGCAGTTAAGGCAACAACGTCAAGCCTCAATTAGCAATCCTGCAACGCCTTCAACAGTTAGAGCTCGGGCTCCTTCAGTCGACAGTGTTCAAAGTCATGATAGTTCTGTTGCATCTTCTCAGTCCCGGCGGAGTTCTACCCTCAGTCAAGCTCAACGCCGTGCCTCTTCTCAACTAGCCAATCTTCAACGTCCTGACCCTCCGCTTAATCTAGAAGACACCAATTGGCAAGTCAATCCTGCTCTTCATGAAACCGATTGGGGCTACTTGAAGGACTTCCATGACACCCTCAGTCAGCATCAATTGACTCATTGCACTCGGTGTAACGAGAGATGGTTTAACCTCAAGTTAGCACCAGACAACGTCTGCGCCCGTTGCCACCGTGTCGACAAACACCTCCGTGATGGCCAGCCTTTCCTCTATAGTGCTGAGAATCACATGGATCCTGGGCCAGGCCATCCCAGTCTACCTGAACTCACTCAGATTGAGGAAATGCTCATTGCCCGCGTCCACGTTACTATTGAAGTTCGCCAGGTCAGAGGCGCCCAGTACCGTTATAAAGGTCACATTTGCAACTTCCTTCGTGACACTGGACTCATCTACAGCAAGCTACCTCTTCTACCTCGAGACCTTGAGTTAGTCTTACTACGTCCTCCTAATGCTGACGCCAATCCATTACTCAATCGCCAGTTCAGACGAGACTTCCGTGTTCGTCAGAGGGCTATCCGTGAATGGCTCCAATTCCTGCGCCTTAATCATCCTGGCTATTCTAACATCGAGATTGATGAGGCTGCCCTTCAACAGCTCCCGATTGACGATTCTATTGCCGACCAACTAATCACGGAAGAAGTCCCTGATAGCGTTGAAACGGTAGGCAGCGATGAACAGGATGTTGCAGATGAAGACGAAGGCGCCCAGACCTCGGTTATCCCTGATCTTCTTGCCCGTGAGGAAGAGATCGAAGGTCTCCGTCGTCAGGTTGTACAACGACGCCACTTAACCTTGCCGCCGATGCGTGCCACGCCGCTATCTGAGTTCAACACAACCCAGCCAATGCTATCCTGGGCGTTTCCTACCCTATTTCCTTATGGTATTGCGGAGTTTGTTACTCCTCGCCTGCGATCTATAACATACACCGACTACGTTAAGCATCTCCTCAAGTACCAGGATGGGCGTTTTGCAAAACATCCTCGCTTCAGGTACGTCGTCTTTAACACTATTATGCGGAAGCAAGTCAATACCAGATCAAGCTTCTTTGTTAAGAAAACCGATCGTGAAGAGATGACCATTGACGATCTACGAGCTGCCTTTGATGATAACACCGCTGAAGCTCAGGCTCTACTAAATTCGATCACTCGCCACGCCGATAGCCTTCGTGGAACGAGACCTTTTTGGGCTGGCCGACGTCGTCAACTTGAGGCCTTTGTGAAAAACCTAGGATCGCCTCATCTGTTCGTTACGCTCTCCGCGGCGGATTACCATTGGCATGATCTTATGAAGCATCTACCTGAGTTCGATCGATGGGAGATAGCAACTCCGGATGAGCGAATCCGAATTGCCCGTCGCAACATTCGCGATAACCCCCTGATCGTTGCCTACTACTTTCATGCCCGTCTTGAGGCCTTTAAACAGACTGTCCTCATTCCAAAGTTCAACATTAAGGACCAATGGAGTCGTTATGAATGGCAGAGCCGTGGTAGCACCCACACACACGGCTGTTACTGGAGCGATGGAACCCCAGACCCTGATGTCGATCAACTTGATCCTGAACTCATGGATTACTTTGCTAGGTTCTGGGGCATCCACATCTCTGCAATCAATCCTCAAAAGGACCGTCAGCAACTAGCATCAGAGACTCCTCTTTCTCTTGCTCATGAGGATCAACAGAATGAGCTCGAACATCTGTCTGCCGTTGTGAATCGTGTACAACGGCACCAATGCTCAGAGGCCTATTGCCTGCGGAAAGAGAAGGCCACTGGCACAATTAAATGCCGTTTCAATTACCCACAACCTGAACGTGAAACTCCTGGCCTTGAGATTCCTGTTGGTAGCACGTTCTATCGTTTCCAGCCTGCCCGCAACGATGGCCGTCTCAACAACTACAACAGGCTAGTCAGCCTAGCATGGCTTGCAAACACCGATATTGCGCCTTGCACAGGGGCTGTTGCCGTTCTCAATTACATTGCTAAATACACCACGAAGGCAGAACGGCAATCAGAGTCTTATCAACAGATTGCTACTCGATTGCTTCCTCATCTCAACACCACCAGGCCGCTAACCTCCTTCGTCTCAAAGACCATGAATCGCCTCCTTGGGGAGCGAGACTGGTCTGCCCAGGAAGTGTGTCATCTCCTCCTTGACCTACCTCTCTCAATTGGTAGTCGGCCTGTCCAGCTTGTGGACTGTCGTCCTGAGGCCCAGCAGGCTACTAACTACAGACTGGAAGATGAAGGAGACACTCTCAGACGCGGCCAGTCACCTTTACAGAAGTATAAACTACGTCCTGAGCGGCTCGAAGGCATTTCATTCCTTCAAATGCTACGCCTTTACAACTTCCGCCGCTCCGATCAAATGCAATTACGCCCTCGAGCTCCTCCACAGATCCTTAACTATTACCCTCGCTATAAGCCTAGCGACGTTGAGAATTATGCAAGGATTAAGCTCACTCTTCATGTCCCTTTTCGAGAGATCGATGACCTCTTGAGACTGGATGACGAGCGTTTCGAGACGTTTCCTGAAGCATTCGATTACTGGCAACAGGTGTATGGCCCTACAGCAGAGCCAGACTTCCTTGAGGAACTGCCTCCTGAGCCTGAGGAACAGGATGAGTTTGAAGATCTTCCTGACGATGATGAGGACATTCAACAGTCTTGGGAAGTCCTTGCACGTCAACTACCCAATCGTGACGATAATATCCGCATTGAGGACCCTGACCAACTCGGCGATAGGGACCTTGATCGTGAGTACGATTGGACGCCCCATGTTGGCCGTTTTACCTTTCCTGACGACTACTGGAAGGAATTAAAGCAAGCCGAGCCTGCCTCTCTTCATGCTGAGTCGACGACTATAGATCCTGATCAACTGGAACGTCAGCAACGACGCCTTTATGACTTCGTTGTGGCTGATTACGCCGGCGAACTTGCTGGCCTTCCGCCTCCTCAATTCCTTCTTAATCTAGATGGGAAGGCAGGCACAGGCAAGTCCTTCGTCATCATGCTCATTTCAGCCACGCTACAACAGATGGCCACAAACGCAGGCCGTCAGTTCCCTATCCTCCGAGCGGCGCCAACGGGCGTGGCAGCTCACGGCATCAGTGGAAGGACTCTCCATGCTCTTCTACGTCTTCCTATCAAGTTTCCAAAGAGCTACGAGAAGCTCAGTCAGCAGAATCTACAGGCTGCCCAGTCTACCATGCGTGAGATCCGTTACCTCATCATTGACGAGAAATCCATGATTGGCCTCAAGATGATGTCCTGGATGGATCAGCGACTCCGCGAGATCTATCCTACGAGAGATCTTCCATTTGGCGGAATCAACATTATCATTGCAGGCGACTTTTGTCAATTGCCGCCGGTAGCCATGAAGCCATTGTTTTTCCAAGGTCAATTAGTTGATCCTACTGAAGTAGCTGGCCGGACGCTTTACAACCTATTCGACAAGACTATTGAGCTCAACGTGATCAAGCGCCAGGACGGCCAGACTACTGAGGCAATCGCTTTCAGAGAGGCTCTTAATGCTCTCCGAGAAGACAGAGTCACGGTTGACGATTGGGGCCTCTTAACAACTCGCGTTGCAGGTATCATTCCTCATGAAATCCCTACCTTTGATGACGCTATCCATATCTATGGTAAGAAACAACAGGTGAATGAAGTGAATCACGCTCGGATGAGAGATCTTCAACAGCCTGTTCTCAAGATCATGGCTACTCATGAAGGTTTGAAAGCAAACGAGGCCAGCTCTGACGCGGCAGGAAATCTTCATGCTGAACTACCTCTTGCCCTCGGGACGCGAATTATGCTCACGGAGAACATCTGGGTTGAGAGAGGCCTCGTCAATGGCGCTCTCGGAACGGTTCGCGATATCGTCTGGAAGGCAGACGTGGACTGGCGACAGGAACCTCCTCTCGCTCTCATTGTCCAATTTGACAGATACGAAGGGCCTTCTCTACAGAACGAAGGCACGGTCCCAATCTTCAGATCGAGGCGTGAGTTCTACAGAGGCGCTGTCAACTGCTCCCGTAAGCAGTTTCCTGTCACAGTGGCTTACGCGATTACAGTCCATAAAGCTCAAGGAATGACTGTGGAAAGAGCTGTTCTGGACTTGACAGAACGAGACTTCGCGGCAGGACTCAGTTACGTCGCTGTTTCGCGTGTTAAAACGCTCAGTGGCATCCTGTTCAAGGAGTCCTTTGATTACGAACGCTTCCAGGTTCGTCCGTCAGAGACTGTAAAGGCACGGAATGCCGATCGTCAGCGTCGATCAACGCAGCATTTGGGCACTCAAACCACTCAGGAACTAGTCATTCGAAGCAGTTCACCAGTGATGCCAGAGTGAAAAAAAAAGCCACAGGAAAAGGCGCGCGAAAAGGTGCGCGAAACGGTGCGCGAAAAGGTACGCGAAACGGCGCGCGAAACAGTCGAAACAGCGCGCGAAACAGGCGAAACAGCGCAGGCAACGGCTGGCAACAAGGCGCAGGCAAGAAGGCGCTGGCTAGCGCCAGCGCAAAGCAGTCGATTGCAGAGGTTTTTTCAAAATCAGCATTAATTTCCTAATTAGGCAGGTAGCACGGACAGGTGGCAAGGACAAGTGGCAAGGACAGGAATGCATGGTGTTTTAATACATGGTTTTCGTGGGGTTCTACTGCGATACGCAAATCCCCGATTAGGCCCGTTTCCCACTGTAATTACAGGGTAGGAGGGGTGCGGATATTGCACAGAAACTAGATAGAGGAGACTAATCAAAAACGCGTACAGTGGTTAGTCGCTTCGCTGGCGTCTTGAGGAGTACCTAAAGGGTTTACTCCTCACAGTCTATTTTATCATCGCCATCGGCGTCAAGGGGGAACTTGACTCCCTCGCACCAATCTCCAAAGGTCAGCTTGCCAATTAAACTCCTCTCCCCAACAAATCTATTCCCCATCTGGAATGGTATATTGCGGGACACAAACATGGTGGTATATTCTGGGGAAGCTCCAGACTCGGGGAACCGAATGATATCGGACATGGCAGGTGACCCCAGCTTGAGTAGCTTGCGGGTGATCGAGTATAAGATCCTCATTTTCAGGTATGTGTTTGATCCCATACATATTCCCTTTTATCTTCATCTCGAGAAATAGCCAACAAACCACTCGCCCAACATGCAAGACTCGACCACTCCCGATCTCTCCAAACATGGTCTTGGGACAAACATTGAAATGCTTGAAGATGCGACAGACCCAAAGGAAATTTCAATCAAGAATAATGCCTTTGCCGGACACGAGGAACACGCCCAGATCCATCCACGGGAGGAGAGAAGACTCGTAATCAAGCTGGATGCGGTCCTCGTCCCCCTGGCTTCCCTCATCTACTTTGTCGCCTACCTCGACCGAAATTGTATCGGCAATGCTCGCTTGATGGGATTGGAAAAGGACCTATCCCTCACTCCCAATCAGTTCTACAATTGCCTGGCAAGTTGACCACAGTTGCCCTTTACTGACCCGGAGAGCTAATAATTTGACCCTCAATGCAACAGACCATGTTTTTTGTCGGCTACATCATTTGCATGTTTCCGGGAAATATCTGCCTCAGACTGCCCTGGGTCACAGCACCAGCCTTAATTGGCGGCGGCGTGCTGACATTTGGTGCCTTCTGTGCCGGGATTGGCGGTGCTCAGGGCTATGCGACCGTCCTGGCCCTCCGAATTTTCGTCGGCTGCGCCCAGGCCTTCATTCAAGGCTTGGGTTTGTACTTGTCCTTCTGGTACCGAAGAAACGAGCTGGCCTCTCGAAGCGGTGAGTCAATACCTACATCCTTGTTTCGTGCTCGCCCGAGCTGACATGTCGAATCAGCCGTCTTCTACTCTGCTGCCACTCTTGCTGGCGCCTTCTCGGGCTTTATATCTTTTGGCATTCAGAGGCACCTGACTCTTGAAAAAACTGGACTTGCTCCCTGGAGGTGGCTCTTTATCATCGAAGGCGTCCTGGCCGTGGCGGTGGGCACCACTGTCATTCTCGTCATTCCCAACTTTGCCGACCGGATGAAGAAGCTCAAGACGTGGCTGTTTAGCGAGGCCGAACTCAAACTCGCCATCGAGAGATCCAAGGACTATAACACCACGGGAGCCAATATCGACGTGCGACAGATCTGGGCAACCTTCAAGGATCCAAAATCCTACATGTTTGCCATCATCAACGCTGGCGTGGCGCTCGGGATTGCGTCTGTGGGCAATTTCCTCCCGACTTTTGTCAAGTCTTTTGGGTACTCTGCAGGTAAGTTGACTTCTCTGTTCCATTTTCATGCCTGTTTCCTTCCTCCCCTCGAGTCATGAATGAGCAGCTGCTGATCAAGCCATCCAACCTCTCCAGACAAGGCACAGCTGTTCACCGTGATCCCATACGCCTGTGCGTCGGTGTTCCTGATCGCCGTCTGCTTCCTCTCCGACAAGTACAACACCAAGGGTCTGCTACTGGTCTTCACCCTGTCGGTCTCCTGCGTCGGGTACATCATCCTGCTGTCCGTGCGGTCGGTGCCCGTGCTGATCTTCGCGACCTGCCTTATCACCGCGGGCCTGTACCCGAGCGTGATCCTGCTCACGTCGTGGCTGGGCATCAACACGTGCGGCTTCACCAAGCGCGGCACCACGTGGGCCATGGCCGAGGTCTTTGGCCAGTGCTTCTCCATCATGGGCACCCACGTCTACGACCACCCGCCCCGCTTCGTCAAGGGCCACTCGATCGTCCTGGGCATGCTGGCCTTCGCCATCGTCATGGCCACCTCCAACATCTTCTGGATGCGGTACCAGAACCGCCGCAAGGACGCGGAGATCGAGCGCTACCGCGCGGCAGGCGAGCCTCATCCCCACGTGGAGCGGAGCTTGGAGGACGAGGGCGACCAGCACCTCGCTTTCAGATATATTCTGTGAACGGCCCTCGCGACAACAGAGCTGGAGCTGGGGAAGAAAAAGGGTACTAACTCTTTCAGTGTTTCTGTGTGTGTGTGTGTGTGTTGTCCCATGCCTGGGCACTGTAACGCCCAAGTGCGAGATCCTCTTGTGGACACTGCCCTGTATATAGCCAGCCACACGGCCCTCTGAGTGCTTATGTTGCCACTCGGTAGAGATAGCAAAATCGGATAACTCTTCCACTGCCTCTCTGCACACAGACACATATTCATTAAACGGGCACTTATCTGTGTAACGAACACTGTATTGAACAAGCCACAGGTAACAATCCGCACCTATATCCCTACCTGCATACCTACCTACCTGCCTAGATACTTACTTACTTACATACCTACCTACATACCTCCGTAATATCGTACGAAGGTGATCCTCATAGACTTTCTCGCGATCCACATCTGACGCCAGTCATCTCTTTCGAAATCCACCAAGGGAAGAGTATTAGATAGCGGAATAGACAAGAAATGCATCCACGGGAAGTTACAAGAGGGATAGTGTTTTTTTCATTCCCGTGGGGCTTTCACACCCAGGGAACTCAGGGGAGTAAGTCTATGTATGCATGTATGTATGTATGACTATATGACTTGATCATTCACCAAAGAGTAGCCTAGGTATGAACATGTAACCAGATTATTTACCAAAAGACGGGAGTGAGTCAGTACAGTTCATTCATTCGATGTTTTCTTTTCTGCCAGGTCTTTTTTCCTGGCGCAGTAGCAGCACTATCAACACCAGGCCTAGCACCAGCACCGGCAAGATCTATGTATGTATAAGCCAAGCTAGTGGCTACAGCTACGGCCAGCCGAGTTAGACGACTACACGATTAGACGTCGATAGGACATCTGACGGGCTCCTCCAGCAGGTTCGCGAGATCTCTGACGTCGGAAATATTTTCTAGCGAGAGAACACACTTCTCGATGGCGGCGCGTCTGCTGTCGTCGAGAATATCGGCTGTCAACTCGCGCCACTTGTGCACAATGTCGTCGTTACTGACGGGCGGCATGATGCCCCGGGGCGCCTCGATGGAGCCCTGCACCTCGGTGCCGTCTGCGAACTTGACCGTCATGACGGTGCGCCAGCGCGACGTCTTGGTCGCGTCGAAGGCGGTGTTGTGCGTCGGCGTCGTCTTGCTCATCAGCTCGCGCAGCAGCGGCCGGTTGAGCCGCGATGCGCCAAACTGCACCATCGACACCTGGCGGTCGACGAGCTGCGCGGCCGCCGCATACTGGATCGACATCTGAGCCGCGACGCTGGACAGCGGCTGCGTCGGGTCCGCGATCCACCCGCCGTGTTCGAACGCCGGGCGGGCGTGCTGCGTCACGATACTCACGATGTTGGCTAGGTTTTCTGGAGCGAAGAGCTCGGGGTGCGCACGCTGTAGGCCCGCCACGGTGTCAATCGTCCCGTGCAAGCCGGCCATGGCGGCGTGTAATTTCACGCGGATCCATTCGAGTTCCCAGCGCGAGCCGAGTCCGCTGATGAGCTCCTGAGGTAGAGATTTCGGCTCGAAGCTCGCACCTTGGCTGAAACAGCTCAGGAACCCGCCGTAGGGGACCTCGAAGACTTCCTGGATCCCCGTGTAGTTCTGCTTGGCCATGAACGCCGCGAACAAGCCGTTGCGCGCGGCGAACCCGTGTTGCATTCGTTTGGCCATCGACCCAAACTGCGCGGACATGAGTCCTCCCGTTTGGGTGCACGCCGTGCCTAGTGCCCACTCCGTCTGTGCTCCTGACAGTCGAAGTAGTGAGGCAACGGCAGCCGCCGTCGCTGAAGGGCCTTGGAGGGCGCCGCTATGCCAGCCTCGGCTGAGTAAGTCGGCGCCGTGCAGTGCCAGCCCAACCCGTGGTCCAACCTCACAGCCGACGATGTATGCGAGCAGGAAGTCGGCACCTGATGACGGTGACGCCTCAGTAGAGTTCAAAGGTGCCGCTTCCACCGAAGCCAGCAAAGCCGGTATCAGCAGGGCATTCGAGTGTAGCGGCGCGGTGGAGTGGTAGTCGTCCAGCTCAAACCCCTGGATAAATGTACTGTTCAAGATGGTCGCAGCCACTGGGGGCAACTTCTTGTCCTTCCCCCATCCAATAAGTGTGCATTGGCCGACGCCCTCGGGTTCCATGGTACATACGCCCTTGACGGCGGTCTCAGACCAGGGGAGGTGCGCGGCCACGAGTGCGCAGGCAACGCCATCCAGTATCAGATATTTGGCACGCTCGATGACATGGTCAGGGATATCAGACAGTTTGGTGCTCGTGATCCAGGTGCACAACTGACCCGTGATACCGTCGGGTTTACTGGGTGCAGTGGCGTCGATGGCTGAGGAGATTCCAGTAGGAGGAGACATACTTCCGAGTAACTTGGAGACGAGTCTGATGATGGTCAACCTTCTCAGAAAGGCTCACCTTGGCTGGGAATTGAATGTCTTTCCCTAGACTTTTCTGTAGATAACAAGCAGAGAGTTGGGTACAACGAACCAAATGGATATATCGCGTCCGAAACCATTCGAAACATTCGGAGCGATGACCACCTGTGTATTCGCACAAGCAATATGCACTCCGGGCCGTCTGAGCATTCAAGGTTCTGTCAGACTCTTGCTCAATGCCCCAAGGACTGGATGCCTCAGACATAGCAGAGCCAACCTCCGGGATTGGTAATGGTCTGATCGACAGTCCCCTGGCCATCCAGGACTTGTAGTGGTGGAGGAAGAGGAGGTGAGGAGGTGAGCCTTAGCTTGGACGAGGTCAATGGCAGCCATGTGATTGGTCCAGTCGACATCGGCGCCGATTGCGGCCCGGACAAAGCTTGTCTATTGATTGGTCGCCGACGCCGATGCTCGGACTTGTCCAAGTGCGATCGGACATCTCTGTATCAGGTATTGACGGGATATCATGCCATTCGATTGTGACACCGAAGGACTCGAGAATGTGAATTCCAGGGTCCCTTGGATATAGTTCTGATTATATGCTGGAGACGTCTACAATGTAGCAGTCGAGGAGGAAGATGGTGAATCCAGTCCTTATAGATGGTCAGAGTGTATGGCAGACTTAATCTGACAACATCTTTCTTGGAAAGCTCCTCATATGATGTATCATCACTCCGTCTGCCAGGATCTTTCTCTCCAATTTCACCAGGAGCATGATTGCGAACGCCACCATGGAGTTGCCGTTGTCCAGCGAAGTAAACATCACTACGGTGTCCATTGCTTGATCCACGTATTCATAATCTCGGCTGTCTCCTCTGGAGCTTCCTCGGGCAGAAAATGTCCCACTCCGTCTCCGATGGCTTTGGTTTCCAGCTTGGTCCCCTCTGCGCACCATTCTCTCCATATCGGTTCCACGTCGTAAGTGGCTCCGATATAAGCCTCTGAGTACACCACCAACGTCGGGATCCTGATTTTGTTTCCTGCCTTTTGATCTTCCCGCTGGAGGTCGTCATCTTCAAAGGCACCAGCACGGTAGTCCTCACAAGTAGCTCTGATGACAGATTCTTTGTCAAAATGACTGCAGTAGACTGCGAGGGCTTGGGAATCGAGGACTCTCGCTCTCCTTTTTTCGTTGCGGCCTGCCCACCGATGGATCAGCTCAGAGCACCACGAGCCCCCGCCGTGACTACCAATGAGCTTGGTGGCGATCTCCACGTTTGCGAGGAGCGCCCAGTGGAATCTGGAGGCGGCACTTTTGGCGCTGGTGAAGGTGTCCCACTGGACTGCCGTGGGGACGATGTCGAGGAGGATCACCGAGACAATCTCGAATGAGGAGATATCTCCAGCATCGACGGCGAGACGATGGCAGACCCGTGCGCCTCGATCATGTCCTGCGATGATGATCTTCGGGCGCTCATCTGCCTGACTCGGGAGGCTCTTTTTCAGAGCTTCCAGAACTGTAGTGCCGACCGTCCTTTTATCCTGCTGCAAGCCAATGGCGGCGCTGTCGCCATAGCCGGGAAGCTACAGGTGAAGACAGTCGTCGAGGTCAGTAGACGCTTTCTTTCACAAAGTCTGGACGTCGACATACATCTGGGACGAAAAGAGGGAGGTTGGCGGGCAGCAGAGGTATCAACTAGATCCCAGTCATCAGTATGGTTGTGCACGCTGAGTGGATAGAGCCAGGCTGTACCCATCGAAACCTGTATGCCAATAGACGTTAGTCGTAGTCCTTAGACGGGAGTGGCGTACAGACAAATAACTCCTGTGACCGTCAGCAATCCAGAAACCAGCACGGCGAGATTGGACCGAGTTTAACCCGATGACTCACGACTGCGGATAGCCATGCAGCAGGACCAGGACTGTATCACCCCGTGAAACATTGTTCAAACCCCTCGCGTGGAAGTTGATTGAGGCTCCATTCGAAGTTGTAACTTTGCTTGGACGTTGGTAGAAATCCTGCACCGCGTCCGACATTCTGGTTTAGCAACAGCAGCAACTCGCAGTTCCCGGTACACACGCGTGATCTGAGGTTGACTGGATGTCGTCGTCTTCTCTTCTTGGCTTATCTCAAACCCGGACTCTGGACTCTCTATTATTGGTGAGCCGAAGGTCGCAGTGGCGAGTCGGGATGGCCGAGTTTCGGAAGACGTTGGTTTGGGTTTTGGGGCGTTGCTTGTTTTATGTCGCTTGATTGATATGCACTCTTGTACGAGGGACTCTTGTATGTAAATTTCCAATTTGGAGGGCCACGAGGGCGCAGGCAGCGCAGGCAATGCAGGGCAGTGGTGGAACGTGCGGGGACTCAAGGGCCGGTGCGGGGACGCGGGGTTAGAAGATCCGAATGCACATGAATGCCTTGATTCTCCAGACCTCGTACACCGTATTCCATGCCTTGCCACTGCTTGTGTCCTTTATACACCCAACTCCCGACGTCGGAGATGTGTAAACCCTATCATCGGTACTGCCACTGGTCCAAACAGCGCTTGGCATCACGCGAGTGAACTTCACGTCGGCCACATTCCTCTATCCTGGTGACCGCGCCAGTATTACAATCGTTACACTCCAATCTCCAATGCATCTCACGCACTGTACTGTAAGGTCTAGCCATGGCCTGTACCGAATGTCGGCAACAGAAGGTATGTTGTGTCCCTGTCCTCCCTCAGGGGCTTTGCGCCATCTGGCTCTTCCTGACACGGGCATACATAGATCCGGTGTGACCGGCTTGATACTTTCCCAGAGCCGTGCTCCCGCTGTCGTCGGGTTGGTGTCCAATGTGTCTATTCAAAGGAATTCAGGCGACAACGACGTCCCACGTCAGTCTCCCCCGCTTACCATTTTGAAGCTGTGCAGACTGACGTTGAGATCACAGGAAGACAGAGCTGCAGAACCAGCTGGACACTTTGCGCAAGCAGTTGTATCTGTCCTCCAGCAATAGCTCTCCCTCGGCCCAAGGTCATGAAGTGGCTGTCCCTCCAGTCGTCAGTCCCACCCCTCCAGCTGCTACACCACAATTATACCTTGCGCCGATCCAAGGACAGGAGTCAACCAGCATCATCGCTCCAACACCTCCATCGACATCGCTCCCGCCTCCCCTCGACCATGAGCCTGCCAGAAATCTGCCTACAGTTTCCACCCGGAGCTCCCAGACACTACCTCGGAGTCTCGATGAACTGCAAATCACGGCGCGGGACATCGACAACTGCTTCGCCATGTAAGCCTAGAGAGCCTTGTGAGTAAGGTATATCAGGACTGAGCTTGTGGCAGATTCAAACGTCATTGCATGGCTTACGTGCCCATGGTCGAGACCCTCTTGACTCCCAATGAATGCCATCAACAGTCGCCCCTCCTGTTCTGGACAATCATCGCGGTCGGGTCTCGAAAATACAGCGAGAATCCAACACTGATCATCCTGCTTGGTCCTAAAGTCTCCAAGTTGGCCAAGCTGGCCTTGTTTGCGCAGGAACCTGTGCTTCTGACCATACAGGCGTTCCTGCTGTTGTGCTCCTGGCCAATGCCCTTTGAAGCATTGAGCAATGATATTACCCCAGTCCTCGCTGGAGCGGTGTTGCAACTGGCAACCACCATCGGTCTGCACGTCTCGGGCGTGGGACAAGAGTTTGCACGCACCAAAGTGAATCAGGATCTCACCTACCGCATGGCACGTGGCAGGCTGTGGGCTGCATGTGTAGTTGTCTCGCAAAGGTCGGTTCCACCCATCCGCTGAAAAAGTTTTACGGCTCTGAGTTTGGAGTAGGGTAATTACAGTCAATGGGACACCTCCCTTGGTGATTCCCGACACGTATGGCGACGACTCTCAGGAGTTGAGTACCTTCATGACGCCGAGTTTCCAGTTCCAGAAGAAGGTTAGCGAATACCTCAGCATGACTATTCTGTACATCCAGAATCACGCGCTGTACAAGCCAGCAGACGAGTTGGACCTTGCGCTTAGTCCCATCATTCACTCAGCTACCGATCGACTGGTCCAACTAGAATCAGATGCGCCAGAGCGCATAGGTACGTCAATATCAACGCATCCCATCTGTGCTTCTCTTGTCTCTGTCGTAGGCTGACCCGAGCAGATCGGTTTCATGCCATGTCTGCGCGGCTTCATCTCCTAAGTTTTCACTTATTCAAACACCGATCCGCGATTGAAGACTCCACCCTATTTGTAATGTACGAGCTTGCTTGCAGGACGATCGAGCTCGCTATGGAGCTAGATTCAGAGCTCAGCATGGCCGAATACGGCCCCATGTATATCACCAAGTTCCTGCACAGCGCAGTGATCACCATTCTCCGGGTGGGGAGAGCTGCGGTCGCTCAACAGCTGGATCTGGAGCGAGGGCAACGGAACTATTTTGCTGTGATTAATTACCACAAGAGACACGCCGTGCGCCCAGACGACGCGTTTGCTCGGTTCAGTATCATTCTCACCCAGTTGTGGACCAGCAGAAAGGTCTTTCAGTACTCGAACGGCCTCGTGGACAGTCTTAGGGTCAGAAGCAAAGCCCGCCTTGGGATGAGCATGGTTTACGACTGCTTCTGGTGGTGGCGGCAGGAATTTGGTGGCCAGAGCAATGTATACGGAGACAACCATGGTATGACTGCCCCCTCCCTCCTTTCTACACTGGCTTCCCTGGCAAAACCTCGATCAAGCTGTCTGACTGGTTCTATAGGGGACGAAAACCCCAACCATATCCTCGATGACTTTGCTCCTAGCTTGGACAGCGACCAACTAGACCTGGTCGACTTGAACCTGACCCCGATTCCAGACCTACAGTGGCCCGTGTTCGACAAGTTTTTTACCGAAAATTGGCCTAGTCTAGATTTAGATATGAGCATATAGAAGACCAGTGCCAATGTTAGATTTCCATTTTCAGAGTTTTAGGCTCAAAAATCCACACTATGTCTCTACAGGTCTCCGAGGTGTACTTGGCCGGCTGCGCATGTAGACATTAACAACATTGTGTGCAAGGTCCGGGGTGTAAGAACCCGCGATTCTGGCCACAAGCTAGAATAGCGAGTACTTTGGCTGGATCATATGCCAGGCTAGTCGTCGGGGTATTGAGGTTTTTCACCACCAGGAATTCCGCCGCACGGTACATAGACAGGTCGCTAACTATGCTAGCCACAGCACCGGTCTGTTGCTACCTGTAGAGATATGGAGATTGATTCCCACAGATGTCGGCTGAAGCGGCCATCGCTTGGTCCGCAAACACGGCAGACGGGCGTGCATTGAGATATCATCAAAAGGGCATTGATCGCCCTCGTTCCGTCTTAACGAGACGCCCTCCCCATCTCCCCCTGCAACATTCCTGCGTCTCACCTGTCCCCCCTCTCACTTTTGTCACTCAGGAACTTCCCATCCATTCGACGACTGCGGTAGACGAGACGCATCCTTACACCTCGATTGAGCAGCAGGCTCCATCAAATGGATACCACCGCCACAACCACCACCACCACACATCGAGGAGACAAGCCACATGGCGACACGCCCGTTGCCATCCACGAAGAGGACCTCAAGGTGTCCATCAAGTCACTGGAATTGCTTGAGGAACCAGATCCAGAGATCGACGGACGCATAAGGCACAAGTTCGACCGACACATCCTGCCGTGGCTGTTCGCCATCTGGCTCTTCTCGTTCCTCGACCGCAGCAGCATCGGCAACGCCAACATCGCCGGCATCTCGCAGGATCTCAAACTCGTGGGCACTCAGTACAATCTGGCCCTCATGCTCTTCTACATCCCCTACATCTTGGTCGACATACCGTCAAACTGGATCGTCAAGTACTGTCGCGCGGGCTTCTATCTGCCTGCCCTCATCACCGGCTGGGGTCTTGTCTGGTGAGTTCCGGGAAGGGAGGTCGGTTCTCGTTCAAAACAATTTTGACTGACACAACTTCTCGAAGCACCTTTACGGGTTTCACGAAGAGCTTGGGGGGTCTCATTGCCGGGCGTCTTCTCCTCGGCTTCTTTGAAGGGGGTCTCGTTCCGGGCATCCTCATCTACCTTGCCATGTTCTATCGCCGGAGTGAGATGGCTTACAGGATTGGACTCTTCTACTGTGCCGCTCCGTTGAGCAGTGCCTTTGGTGGCCTACTCGCTTCCGGCCTTGCGAAGATTGAGGTCGGATCTTACCAGAGTGAGACGCGATAACCCCTTAGTGAACCAGTATCATGCACTGACCCATCTTCCAGAGTGGCCTTGGATCTTCTTTGTCGAAGGTGTAAGTGCGAAAAGTGACACTCTCAACAGCAACAACTCTCCAGCTAACCTTGAATCCCATGGATAGTCCGCCACGGTCCTCGTTGGAATCACAGCGGCGATGTTTCTGCCAGACAGCATCACGCACGCCAAATTCCTGACGCCAGAGGAGCGGGTCGTCGCGCACAGGCGAGTCTATGGTGATGCGCGGGCGGCGAACGGAATGGCCACAGTCGAGCAAGAGAAGTTTTCATGGCATTGGGTGCGCATTGCGCTCTTTTGCCCGCTGCCGTGGCTCACTTCTGTTGCCTACATGATGATCATTGTGCCTCTTTATGTGCGTTTCTCCCCTCCTCAGTCATCTTTTTGGTAAAGCTATGGGGACATACTGGGACTGACCATCGTTTGAAACAAAAGGCCTACGCGCTCTTCCTCCCTACCATCGTCCACTCTCTCGGATACACCTCGACGATCGCACAGCTGCTGACCGCTCCACCGAACGTGCTGGGCTTCTTCAGCGTCCTGCTCGTCACCCGCCTCTCGGACAAAGCCGGGATGAGGGCGCCGTTCATGGTCGCGGGCGGCATCCTCGTCGCGACGGGCTACTCGATGCTTCTGGGGTCGGATCTCCCTGGCGTCAAGTACGGAGCGACCTTTGTCATTGCGATCGGGCTATACCCTGCGTCGCCTTTGGTAAGACCACACAATCCGTTTGTGAGATGTTTCTTTGAACTTATACTGTTTGGCAGTGCCTCGCATGGCTGAGCAACAACGCCGCGCCGCACTACGTTCGCGCCACGTCGAGCGGGTTGCAACTCGGCGTTGGCAACTGCGCGGCCTTTATCGCGACATATTCGTATCTTGCCAAGGACGCGTATGTTTCTTCCTCCCCCCTCCCCCCCTCTCTCTCTCACAAACATACACAAAAATATCTCTCGTGTGGTTAGGGATCCAAAAGCTGACAACGTCACAAAAAAAAGTCCCGAATACACCATGGGCCACAGCATCAACATCGGCGCCGCCATCCTGTTCTGCATCATGACCACCTCGACGATGCTGTACTGTCGCTGGGAGAACAGGCAGAGAGAACAGGGCGCCCGCGACTGGCGCCTGACCCAGCAGGATCCCACGCGCCTCGGCCATTTGCATCCCGATTTTCGGTATACCTTGTGACCGTTTTTTGCGTGGGCGATACATGGCAAGAGGAAAAAGTCGTCTTTTGAAGGGCCTGAGATGGCAAGTATCGCAAGTATAGCAGCCTGTGAATGTGGCGGCGAGGGGTCATGGTGATAGATAGATACACAAAAGACGGCGTGCCATCACGGCGTTGAGGGTGTCGTGACGTCTCATTCAATGGCCGGGCCCTTGTTGTGGCCTGCCTCTCTACGGGAGCTTTAGGCCCCCTGTGGACCACATCGACTTGGATAGACGAATCACACTATACGCACCCTCAAATCCTCATAAGGTCTCAACACCATAGATGCACAGAAATTCCCACGCGAACCCACATGAACCCATCTCGCCGTCCTTGACAGACGAAGTGTTCAACCCAGGTGCAACAAAACCCTGGCACTCTCCCTCGAGGACAATATATCCAGGGGAACCTTGCTAACCACAGTGCCACACGAAGAACAACACGACTTTGATCCACGTTCTTACGACAAGGTCCACTTCAGTCCAGCCAGAAATGGATGGTTGCGAGCTAGGGATGGTAATAAAGAATGAAAAAAAACTCGTGTGCATTTGAAATTCTGTCAGGATGAAAAAATTACATGCAGAATTCATACGAATGATTAGCGTTGACCGGGTTGTGGAATTCTTGTCCAGCATTATTATCCTCTTCTTTCTCCTCCTCATCATCTGCCCTTCTTCTGAGTAAAGAGAAGGGGAGAAAGAATCCTCCCGTGTTTTGAGGATTATCCCCCTTTCAATTGTAATGCTTCAATTTAATCCCCGCGATAGTCTCCTCTTGAATACCCTGGCCCTTGCCCTTGAAGACCTCGGTCTGCCCGTACGCGCTGATGCGAGCAGACCTGTACAGCTTGGACGTCGGCTCCGTGCCCGGCTCGAACTTTCTCTGCACACCGGCGTCGCGGAGCACGCTCGACTCGTCCAGGAGGGTGTTGATCTTGACGTCGTCGTTGGGGACGACAAAGTAAAACAGACCGCAACGGTCCTGGTTGCGCTGGTCGGCGGGCGGTTGGCACACGCGGTGGATGGTGGCCTTGTAGTAACCCCCGGTCCACCACTCCATCATCTCGCCGGCGTTGACGATGATGGCGCCCGGCACGTACGGCACCCAGCGCCACTTGCCCGTGAAGTGGTCCATGAGCTGCAGCGACGCCATGGGCTGGCTGAACAGCATGGTGAGCGAGCCAAAGTCGCAGTGGCCCTTGAGCCACACGCCGCCCGTCTTCTGCATGTCCTCGGCCTTGTGCGCGTGGAAGTACATCATGTACCGGTACCAGGAGTCGTCGTGCACCTCGTACCGGTGGAGATTGACAAAGAAGTCCTCGGGCAGGTCGAGCGAGATGGCGAACAGCGTCAGCAGCCGGACCAGGATCTCCTTGTGGATAAAGTCGTTCAGCTCTTGGACCTCGTCGACGAAGGGCACGAACGTGGACGGGTGTTCGCGCAGCGTCAGGTCGCGGTTCCAGTTGTACTGCTCAATCTGGTCCCTGACCCCTTGGTCAATCTGCCAGTAGTTACGGGGCTTGAACCCCTGGTAGCTACCCTCCTGCTTCATCCGGCCTTGCAGGCGTTGCTTCTCCTCGACCGGCGTCTTGGTGAGCACGTGGTACCCGATGTCGACTTGACGGTCGATCTGCTCGATCGAGATGCCGTGGTTGACCACCACGAAGAAGCCTTGGGTCCGCATCGCGTGGTTCAGCTCGCTGGCGAGCTTCTTGCGCGCGTCCGGGCCATTGTCGAACGTGGAGAGGTCCAACGTGACCAGCTCGGCGTACTCCAGGGGCTCGGACGTCGGCTTCACGGGGACAAAGTGTTCGAGGTCGGGCTTGGTGACGGTGGACGGCATGTTTGCGAGCGTGCTGTACTAGCTAGTGGCTTAGCGGGTATCGTAGTCAATTGGTCAACACGAGGTGAGAACTGATCAGGACTTTTGTTTTTATTTCTCGCGACGCTTGTCTCTTTCAGAGATGCTATTCGTCTGGACATATCCCCCATGGCGCTCTCTGGCCTACCTACCTCTTTATGTTTATTCGAACCCCGTCTTCATGACATGGTGCCCACTCCGTCCACCGCACCAAAGTGTGGGGTTAGACTTTGCGGACCTCGGAAAATGCGAGATCGGCCAGGCCGCAACACGGCTCCAAGACTTTGCAACTGTGCAACGGACCGATCGATAGCAAGGGTCTGGGGGAGTCCCTTGTGCGATTTGTACTTTTGCTCATCCCCCGGTCAGTTCAGGACAACGTTGATCTGCGACGTTTGAGATGGCAATTCTGTAAGGGGTTCTGGGGCTGGTACGGACGATGCAGACAGGAGCTTTGAGCCCTGTCAAACGTTCTTGGCAGCATCTGTGCCATTTGTAGTCGCAGCTGGCAGTCAGGCATAGTAAGTGAACTCCCGTGGTCACTATGTGAGGCATCACTTCCACCCCTAGTGAGCCATAAGAAGGCG